AGCGGCTCCCTCAGGCCCTTCCCTGCCGGGTCTGGCCCCGGCTGAGCCGTCCGGGCGCGTTGCAGGCGGGACCTGCAGGAGCTGCGGCTGGAGCTGTGCCAGGAGCGGAGCCAGCGCCAGGCGCTGCAGGTGAGTCCCGGCAGGGGCTGCCCCGTCCCGGTGCCCCCGTGCCCCCCAGCACTCACAGCCTCTCCCCACAGGCAGAGATCGAGCGGCTGAGGAAGGGGCTGTCCTGTTAGTGCTGTGGGGGCTGCGCTGCCCACCTGGGGCAGGTGGGGGGCACATGGTGCCCTGTGCCCCCTGACCCCGCTGCCCCCAGCCTGGATCTGCACTCACTGGGCACAAAATGCCCACCCTGTGCCCAGGTACTGCTCCCTGCAGCACAACTGCCCCCGAGTGTATAGAAATTGTTTATGATAAACTATTTTGGGCGTGGATCTCTGTGTGGGGACTGCTCAGGGAGCTGTTGTGGGCTCCCATGTCCCTGTGGGGCTGGGCTGGTCCTGCCGGGCACAGGGGGTCCCACCATGGCACAGGGGGTCCTGCCAGGGCCCACAGCAAGGCTGGGACAGGGTCTCCTCCTCCTCCTCCTCCTCCTGCTCGTCCTCCTCCTCCTCCAGCCCCCACATAGTTTCCCAGACCAGCTCCAGTCCCAGCCCCAGCACATCCTGGCCTCCAGCCACTGGAGAACATCTGGAAAACATCTGGATCCTGCTGGCGCTGGCGGCAGGGGGGACCAGCCTGGGAAGAAGCTATTTTTATAAAGCTGCTGGGGAGGGGGCAGTGGGGCCCCCGCACCCTGTGGGGCTGTGCTGGGGCTGGGAGCAGGGCAGGATGCAACTCAGCCTGGTGGGAGCAGCCACATCCCTGGGGAGCAGCGGCCATCCCAGAGTCCAGCGGGAACATCCGCCCTGGTCCCGCCGGGAGGGCGCTGGGTCATGGTGGGCGGTGCCGGAAAAGATCCGGCTAAATTTAGTGGGGCCAAAGAGGGAATTGGCCTGGGGAGGGGCTGAGACAATCCCTGTGTCCAGGGCCCCCCAAAACTCAGGACCCCACCACGCTGGGCTCCAGCTTGTGTATAACAGCACCATGTTTGTGGGGCAGGAGCCCAGGGCTCACACGGACGCCCAACCCCACCCTGTCCCATGGGGTGACCCCCCACCCATCCCGGCTGAGATGGGCCAGCAAGGTCAGCCCTGTCCCTGTCCCTGTCCCTGCGTGTCCTGGGGCTGCTTGGCTGGTGCCAGCCTCGTACCAATGGCTCAAAGTGCATCGTGTCCTGCGGTGCTGCGGGAGAGTCCAGCCCCGGCCGTGCCCGTGGCACCGCGGTCCGGCTGTCCTGGGTGCAGGGACAGCCCAGGGCGGCTCCGCCGGTGCAGGGACCACAAGCGGCCCCCGTGTCCTGCCGGTCCCTCCTGGCACGGCGTGGGATCGGCTCTGGGGGGAGCAGGCACCGTGCCAGGGCGGCTGCCCCCGTGCCAGGGCTCAGTAGTAGTGGACACGGCCCAGGGTGCCGACGGAGCCGATGGTGCCGGAGCCCAGGATGTCGGGCTGCCCGTTGCGCCAGATCTCGCGGATGATGCGCTCGCGCTCCTCCAGCCGCTGTGCCCGCTCCAGCTCCTCGGCCGACGCGAACACGTTCACGGCCAGCGCCCCGTCCCCGGGGCCGTGGCTCTCCAGAGGGATCTCGGTCACCGGCAGCAGCGACTCGGACGCTGCGCGG